ACCCTAAACCCTAAACCTCAGCCCCTCCGATGCAGGCTATGATGGCGAGGGGGTACTCGACGCTGTGGAGCGTTTCGACCCAGCAGCACGGAGCGGCCAGACAAATTTTAACATGGCATGCCCTGTCGTTTTTTGTCATGGCCAAACTAATCCTACAGCTGTTATTCCGGGTCCAGTGCGGTCAGGACGGGCATTGTTTCAGTCGGAAGATGGGGGTAGGACGGCCCGGACAAAAATCGAACACGACGTCGTCATCGTTCGTCATCACCCTGCAGCATCACCCATACCAAGGGGAGAACAGTGATGCACATCCCAAAACGTTCATGATGCTCCGGGTGGTCAAGAGTGATGATGGTCATAATCTTGACGCGGTGGCTTTATGTTAATATAGGGGCCTTGACAATTAGAATAGGTTTTTAGGGCCCATTATACTATAATTATAGTAAGCAACCCAAAAATAATACTAGTAACTTTTTGGGCACCTACATTATGAAGACCTCCCCGAAACTCAAGACACCCGTTCCTTGGGAAGCTTGCTGTTGGAGCGGCCAATGCATAATGTACGGGCTTAAATAGTTAAAAGTAGAGCCTGTAGTGTGACGCTTTCTGTAAAAGTACTATTTTGGGGGCTCCTTATTATAATTATAGTATAAGGGGCCCCAAAACCCTATTCTAATTATTCAGGCCCCTATATTCGAGCCCTAACGTACCAGGTTGGGAACAGCTGCCATCGATGCCCTCGGCACGAGGGCGCTGCGCTGCTACGGCCGGCGAGGGACGCCTCTTCGTGCTAGGCCTGCCAGATGGTTTTGGGGAAGATTTGGTTTAACCCAAAACCCAAAGCCCTAGACCCTAAACCCGAGTGACTGCGGCTGTGGCTGTCAAAAACGACCGGGGGATGGCGTGCATGCCAAGACTTTCCAGGCCAAGCTAAATCCTGGATTGCAAACCCAAACTAAAGCCAACCCTAAAACCTAAACCCTGAAAGTTCTAATCCCTAAAGCCCAAACAACTTTACATCCCGAACACCAAGGAGTCGTTGATTTGAGAACAACCCCTCCACATGGCCCTTTGCCTGGTTCCAGGCTCTGCATTCTACGTACATGCGTTTTTAGATCACGAAAGTTCATCCATTCACTTGGTGCGTGAAACCTTGAAATTGGTGAACTATGGTCAAATAATCATACTACTATGGAGCCTTCGAGAGCCTACTGTATTTCATCAGGTATGGCTAAGCTCTTGCTAAACCCCCCAGACCTCAGACGTTGATCAGGCTTTTAGGGGTTTGTGATGGGTTTAATGTAAGAGCCTTAACAATTTGAACAGGGTTTTGGGGCCCATTATACTATAATTATAATGAGGAACCCCCAAATAGCATAGGTAACTTATTGAGGCCCCTACATTGGATGTCACTCCTTAGGACGCCCATAAGCATTCAGGCTCTCCCCAAGCTCGATCTAGGACATTTTCAGGTGGGTAGTTACCGCTATAAGAGCCTTATAGAAGGTCTATATACCGTATGGAAGCCTTATAGAAGCCCCATATACCCTAAACTCCCCACCTGTGGTCCTTTAACTCGAAGCATCGACCACACCAGACTTAAGCTGGAAGGCTTCATGGACCTATATAGAGTTGGGCCTTAAAGAGGTTCCTACAGAGGTACTTTAAGGCCTAAGGGTATATATGTATATAGATGGGTACATGTACTGTTTCCGCTCTCCTTGTATTCGGGGTTTCCTTTTGATTGAAGTTTCCGAATAATGAGCATAACGAAGACATAGTCCTTACAAGCAGAATAGGGACCCTCGACAAGGGGTCCCTAAACATGTTTGATTCCTCGCTTTCAATTCCCTAAACCAGAAGCCCTGCATGTTTCTGAGCCATAGTGTTAAAATAAGGGGTACCTTATTTTGGAGGACCTTATAACAAGGATCCTACTATCTGGGGTACTATATTAGGGTCCCCTATTTTGACCTTATAATAAGGATCCTACTATCTAGGGTACTATATTAGGGTCCCCCCCTATTTTGACGTCTTCGCAGGTGGCACGGATGACAACTCTCGAGAGCTCGATGCGGTGGAGTGTTTCGATCCGAGTACTTGGACTTGGGAGGCCAGAAAAAGGGTTCTGTAACCCTGAGGGTCCATGTACCCAAATCTTATATACATTGGCCCCAAAGTACTTATATAGGGACTACTTTAAGGCCAAAGTATATCAATTTGGGTACATGGACCCTTAGGGTAAGGGTTCCTGTGGGGTTCGACCCGGCCTCTACGATGTTCCGCGGTAGTAGGTCGAGGGTTCTATATGGGTTGCTTTAAGCCTTGAATGTGACGGTTTGCAGGTCCTCCCTCGGCTTCCGACGCCGCGCTGTGGCTTCTTGGCTCTGACTTGGCCTAGTTAGGGTATAGGGTTTATGATTTGGGGCATAGGGTTAAGGGTATCGGGTTTAGGATTTGGGGTATAGGGTTTAGGGTGTCGGGTGTAGGATTATGGTTATAGGATTTAGTTTAGGGTTCAGGGTACAGGCCCTAAAGCTGCAAAGCCTTACCTTTCGAGAGGTTGCGCCGCCGCAGCCCTGAGTGGAGCCATCTTCGTCGTCGGCGGCCGCCGAGACGGCGACAAGCTTGCCACAGTAGAGCGTCTCTCAGACTTAAACAGATGCTGTTAGGGGTCCTACTTGGAGGTGCAGGGTAGTTATAAATGGGCTTATAAGTAAGGTAACTATAGTTATAACCCATATTAGGGGACTCATAATTCCATTTACAACTACCCATGAACCTCCAAGTAACAGTGTAGGATAGTAACGGTACTATTAAGGTTTGGGTTTCGAGGGTCGTGGTTTCCAAAGGGCTGGCTATTGTTCTTTGTTGCGTCTCACTTTGTATGTATGGGCTTCGTAGAGGTATAGGGCTTGATAAGGGCTCCAGGGTTTACGGTTTGGGGTTCAGGGCGATGGGGATTTCCGGATCACCTCAGAGAGAGCCAGCCCTCTTAGTCATGATTGGGATTGCTTTGTTGGAGACACGGAGTTTGATATGGTTCTGATCGAAGGACTCCGAAGGGGACCTTTTTTCGGAGACAAGAGTATGATAGTATTCTTACCGACTCCAGAAGGGGACCTTGCTCAAACTATACATCCGTGATAAAACAAAAGACCTTTACCACCTCTTCAATTCCGTCAAGGCCACCTGAAAACTGACAGAACTGAAGCACATGGTAAACCGACAAACAGGAAGCAAGAAACCACATGAACACACAGAGCAAGACTGAAGTTTGAGGCTGTGACCTCCACCCCTAACCACAAGGCCCCTCTCCTACGGTTGATGCCCATCTCATACGGTTGCTGATATAAATCCTGCATTACCCATAATAAGGAATATACCATAATTCCCATATAGTTCAGGTTCCATAGGGTAATGCAGGATTTATTGTCATCAACAGTAGTAGTAGCCCCTAATGAGCCGTGTTGCTACGGCAACTCGTTTGGAATCTCAGGATTCGAACCCCAAGCCGAACCCTGAAAGGGAGTCCTCGGGCTTTAGGGTTTAGGGTTTAGGGTTTAGGGTTTAGGGTTTAGGGTTTAGGGTTTAGGATTTAGGGTTTAGGGTTTAGGGTTTAGGGTTTAGGAAACCCAGAACCCCAAATCCCCAAACTCGAAACCCCCTAAACCCCCAAACCCTAAACCCCAAGCCCTTACACCCTAAACCCTTCTCGACGTTTTATTATAGAGGAACCCCCTAATGAACCCCTAGTGAACCCCTACATGGAGGTTCATGGGTAGGTATAATTTTGGATATAAGTCCCCTAATTTGGGTTATAACTACACCTACCCTACTTATAACCCTACTTATAACTACCCATGAACCTCCAAGTAACCCCCAAACCCTAAACCCTAAAGTCCTAAACCCTAAACCCTAAACCCCTAAACCCCCAAACCCCAGGATTTGATCTGCGACTCGGTCTTTGGGAGTCCGTCCTCGCCCTGTCGGGGCCACGGGACGCCTGCGCCGCTGCGGCCCTGGGCGCGAGGCTCTACGTCTTCGGTGGCCGAGGTTCGTTTTGGGGGATTTTGGGGGATGTTGGGGGGTTTAGGGTTTAGGGTTTGGGGGATTTTTTTGGGGTTTTGAGAAATTGGCGTTTTTCGGGTTTCACAGTTTTTTTGTTGCAGTTGTTGAGGCTTTTGTGATGGTTGTGGACGGGTAATTACCTGATTTAAGGGCTTGGAGTGCGGATCTTGCTATTTCGGTTTTGGTTTAGGTCGGTTTTATGGGTGGAGGTTTAGGGTTTAGGGCTCTCCGGTGGGTGTTTAGGGCTTCGGGAAGGTTTATAAGTACGGGCTGAGGGTTTAGAGGTTTGCGCTGGTGGGTGCTCGGTTCGTTCTCGCCCGAAGGTGTGGGTGTGGCCGGCAACCAGACCCTGGCAAGCGCAGCATCCTGGCTGAAGCCTTCTAGGATCCAATTCGGCTTATCCAATTAAGGGTTTAGGGTTCAGGGTTCAGGGTTTGGGTTTAGGGCCGTTTAGGGTTTGGGGGTTTGGAGGTGTTGATTCTTGATTAGGCTGAGGCAGGGTTTGGCGGCACGCAGGGCTCTGAGGTGCACGAGGCCCCAGTGTGAGGGATGATATGATGATGGGGGTTCAGGGTTTGGGGTTTTAGGATTTGGTATGATTTGATATTAAAGGTGTGGAATTTGGGGGAGGGCCTGGGGCGTTTAGGCTTGGGAAGGGCTCCACTTCTTCGGCTATGCAGCTCGGGTTTAGAGTTTAGGCCCGAATGCATCTGAAGGTGAGCCCAAGGTCACAATGGGAACGGAAGTACTGTTCCGCAAACCCTAAACCCTAAATCCACAGTGCCCTTGTGGCATCTTTATAGTTCCCTTATAAGCAGCCTGTATAGTTAGAACACCTCTCATCCTAATCCCCAAAGCCTAAAAGCCCTAAACTGCATCATTGAGGCTCTCTGCCTAGAGACTTGTTGCGAGGTGGAAAAAGGCCCTCAAAAAAAAAAAGCCCTAAACACCTGCAATGTAAAGCCCCTGCAGATTCGTTGAAGACCCCTCTACAAGCCTTTAGCCCTAGACCCTAAACCCGCGATCTGACACCCGAGGCCCTGAAGCCTGAATCGAGAAAGCCCAGGGAGCCCAACACCCCTAAATTAAGGACTTTACATCGAACTATAAGGGGTTTAGGGCTTAGGATTTATGATGTAAGCCCTATAAACCCTACAGCCCTAAACCCCAAATCCCCTAAACCCTAAATCCACTAAACCCTAAATCCACTAAACCCTAAACCCTAAATCCCCCAAACCCTAAACCCTAAATCCCCTAAACCCTTAAAGAATTGAGCGGTGTTGGGCCCTGCGAAAGCAAGGAGTGCTACGACATCAGAACGAACCAGTGGACCACCCTCCCATCGCGCCTTGGGCTTTGCAGTCTAGGAAGTTAGAGTATGTTGTAAGGCGTTTGAGTGTCTAGAGCGGCGTCATAGGGCTATGGGTGTTGGGGCTTTGGGATTTGAGGTGTGTTGACTTCTTGCTCTGAGCTTTCAACCCCAAGCCCTGCAATGCAACCAATCTCTAAACCCACAACCCTAATGCCCAAATCTGAAGTCCTAAACACCTACGTCCTACGTCTCAATCCCTACCTTAAGAACCCAAAACCCACTTTTTTGTAGGTTCTTATTATAACCCTAATACGGGATTTATAGGGACCCTACAAAAGAGTAGGTTTTGGGTTCTTAAGGTAGACCTCGAAAACGTAGAAACCCCCAATCCCCAAACCTGAACAAACTCCGAGCCGGAATCGCAACTTCAAGAAGTCTTTTTCTAGTAGTTATCATAAACATTAGTAGTAGCACTACTACTAGTAACAATGACGTTAGCTGTTAGCTGTAGCAAAATAAGAAGAAGAGTGGTAGTAGTGCAGTAATCTTAATAACAATAATAATAACAATAATAATAATAGTCATAGTCACTTGTCGCTTAAACCCTAAACCCTACATAGTAGCCTCAGTCAGAACACCTACTGGTCCCTTGAGGATGCCGCAGGCGACCTGCGGCTGCGCTGCTGCGGCAGCCGAGCGCTAATGTGCAGCCCTAATGGCACGGCAAAAAAAGCCAGTTTAGGGTTTAGGGTTTAGGGTTTAGGGTTTAGGGTTTAGGTCGGTGGGGTTTATGAGTTTAGGGTGCTTGAAGTCAAACTTCAGTGTCTGAAGAGGACTATGCCTCAAAGTGGTTTCTAATTATGGTAGTAGACCGTATAATAAGCCTCTGGTACCAGTATATGTGTGGTGCACACCCTCCCCTGCAGACTACGGTTCGGACCCGAAACCATTCTGAAAACATGCGCACATGCATGCCTGAATATACGATAAATAAACAAATATATTTATATATATATATATATATGATTATATATATGTGTGTGTGTGTGTATGTATGTGTATATATATATATATATTATGTATTGTGTTATGTTTTTCGAGTGGGGTTGCTATAAGTGTGGTCTTCATGGTGAACAAGTGTCCCAACTGGGTGTAGGGTACAAAAAATGCACGTGGACCTCGTCCTTGAATGTCCTTGAACTTGTCGAATTCCTAGTGCTGTGGCAGTTTAGGACTCATATTGGTACAGTGACAGTACCAGCTTGTCTTCATGCATCGGCGCTGACCGCAGATCCGTGCAGCCGAGCGTCTTGCTAGGGAGTAGGCGCACTCGTAGGCGAAGTGATTAGTATAGTATGACACCGCATATCCCCGAACCATACTACTCAAATGTGCATGTGGTTCGAGGGCGGTCGAGGTAGATGCAGTCCACTCTGTCAATGCAGCGGCCAGCTTGTTCACTGGTGATTCGACTGATAGCAATCATAATTTTGTAATAAGCTAAGCGGCAAGACAACGATAGCAGCACCCGGATGAAAAGTGGGAATGCCCTGCGTAAGCCCAAATCAACTACACCGAAAGATCTTTGACAACCCTACAGTCTCTAAGAAGTCGAAACTCCAAGATCTAGCTTAAAAGACCTACGGTCCCAAAGCTAGAAGTCCCTCGCAACAAGTTGGTGCCACACATTCACCCACACCCCCAAAAGAACAACAAAGCGGTACCGCTTATCCACCCTACAAAGTGGCAAAGTGGGGCGGTAGAGGCTCCCAATATGGGGAGCCACAGGGCCACCTGGAAAGCCAGAATTTCTGGAACCCGAAGCCCTAAACCAACCCAAGATCCCGGAACCCTACACCAAATCCCCCTAACCCTGCACCTCGGACCCAAACCCTAGCCTGAACCGATTTCAATGAGGCCCTCGTCGATTCTTCGCTGGTTTGCGACGCGAGGGGGCCCGGACTGAAGAATCCGACCTCCAGGCTTAGGGCTTTAGGCTTTAGAGGCTTTAGGGCTTTAGGGGTTTTAGGGCTTTAGGGGTTTTAGGGCTTTAGGGCTTTAGGGCTTAGGGCTTTAGGGGTTTATGGGTTTAGGGGTTTAGGGATTTAGGGCTTAGGGCTTAGGGCTTAGGGCTTAGGGTTTAGGGGCTTTGGGCTTAGAGTGTTGTTTTGAAGGGCTTTCGAGGATTTTACAGGGGTTTGCAAGGGGGTTTTAGAGGGCGTCGTAGGGGGCTTAGAGGGTGCGAACCTCTGTCTGAGCTTTACGAAGGTTTTCTCTTTCAGGGCTTTACTTGGAGGTTCATGGGTAGTTATAAGTGGGGTTATAAGTAGGGTAACTGTAGTTATAACCTATATTAAGGGACTTATAACCATACTTATAACTACCCATGAACCTCCAAGTAGAAGCGCTTTATTACTTCATTAAGGATCTTACGAGGGCCTTATAGAGTTTTTCAAGGGCATTTTAACCTAGGGATGCTTGACTCTGGCTCCTACCGCTTCGGGTCTGCCTTGCGGTGGGCTTGGGATTTGAGGTTCGGACCCTCTGTTAAGCAGATACCAAGCTTAGGATCACCAGCTTTTTCGTAGCTCTCAGGATGTATTCATCAATTTTCGGGAAGCAAACCCACCAAGCCATAGACTTAGACTCAAAACCTGAGGTCCTTCTCCAAGCTATCAGCACTTCTTGAGACAAAGACCCAAAGGCTGGATCCCGAGATGTTCAAAAGCTTCCTGTTTCACGCGGCATGCCTCACTGCGATCCCGCGAACCCTAGTGCACTAGGCCCTCCAAAATTCGACTCTAAACCCTTTAACCCTGAAACCCTCACACTCCAACAGAGCTTCTGTCCTTTTCAGGATCCAGTCCAGACGGTGGATCGCTTGGCGCAGGCGCAGGGGGTTTCAGGGATGGTTTTCTCGCTTGAAGCTAGGGTTAGGTTTGGGGGTTTCGGGGCTTAGGGTCCGGTCCTCACATTTGTGGGCAGGGGGGAAGGGCATGCTCCAAACGGATATCGGCACTGCCTACCATATCGGAACTGCCTACAGCAATTAAGCTTAAAGCTTAGGCTTAGGCTTCATAAGGATTTGTTCTGAAATTCTGATGGGCTCGTTAAAGGCAGTCCAGGTGTTTCAATCTGTGAACTCGAGCCCGAAACCTCAAGGCCAAACCGCCCGTTACCGAGTTAGGGTTACGGTTATATATATATATATATATGTGCGCGCGGGTGTGTGTGTGTATATATATATATATACACATACATATTACATATATGTATGAATGAATATATAGTCAGCATAAGTCAGACTGGGCTCCTTAGCAAGAGCCGGCATGTGGGAGACAAGGGCAAGGCCAAGCCCGCACACCTTCAATGTCCTGAGCGCTGACATCCCAGGTCGGAACAGTTAGCGAACATGTTCAATTCCCTGCTAGCCCATTGAATGATACTGTCTGGTAATATACTCATATACTCCCGAACACATTCTAGTTTCTAGATATTATAAGACTCCTGTCGTAGAGAGTTGAATGTGTCGAAACTCTCTGTTGAAGCGTGGAAAAATCCTTCTCCCGAGCTAAGAGCCCAAAAATCCGTGAACCTGATCTCCAATGGTTTGGGGGTTAGGGTTTCGGGCATCCCCAGATCTCAACCCCCTATTATAGCTCGATTAGTTAAGCTTCAATGCGACCCCTATAACTCCCAAACTCTTGAGCTGTAACCACTATATCCACTCAGCTACAGCTCCGATCACTCCGATCCGCCGGATCCCTAAATGTGGGTATTAGGGCTTCCCTAAAGTCCGCAAAGCCAGAAACTGAAAAAGCCGAGATTGAGATGCAGCGGCAGCAAAGCTGTTCATAGTTCAGGGTCTAATATAGATGCCTGAATAAGTACCAATACTATTACTATTCCTCAAGGCTTCCCGATGTAGTCCTAGCATAAAATACTGTTAAACCGCTCTAACTAACAAGTTTGGGTCTCAAAGCCCCCAGGCAGGTGCCAACGGAGTCGTTTTTCTGCACTCGGCAGATGGCTGTGGCCTCGGCATCAGCCTGTCGAAAAGATCCCGTGAATGAGAGGATTATGGGGTTCCATGGGGAGCCCTAAACCCTAAACCCTATAAACCTCGCAGCGGCTCTAAGGGTGTTCACATGCCGAGACTCAGCCATTTCGTAGGGGTCCTATAATTGGATCTGTCTCAGCGACGTATCAGGACAATTCATCATGATTCATGCAGGGTTTCCTTCACAGCAACTCGCTCTACACCGAGGACCTCGCACATGCAACTTTAGGCTAGACACACGAAAGGTCAACAGCCCACCCCCCTGAAGTCACGACTTGCCGAAGCCCACAATCTCAAACCCAACAGTCTGAAACCAGAACCCACAGTTCCAAAGCGTCCAGTCGCAGAGCTTTAGTTTTGCTTTGGGGCTTCTTCACTGGTTCTCGAGTCTCGAGGGCCAGAAACCTTCAGCCCCAGGTGCACCAAACACAAATCCCAATCCCAGTCCCTGGAGCCCAAACCCTAAACCTTTGAACCCAAAACCCCAAAACCCCTAAACCCTAAATCCTAGTTAGACACTTAAGCCCTAAATCCTAATCCCTCAGCCCCTAAACCCCTAAACCCTAAACCCTGAACCATGAACCATGAACCCTGGCACGCGCAACTTGACTTCCAAAGCACCAGGCGCCACAAACCGTAAACCGGGGCTACAGCCCTGAACCCGGAACCGAATAGAGGGGCCAAAATAATTACCTATACTATTTTTTTTTTTTTTTGGGGGGGGGTCCTCATTGTGAACATAGTATGATATACCCCAAAAACCCTACTCTAATTATTAAGGCCCCTAGTTACATAACCCTAAACCCCAAACCCCAAACCCCTAAACCCTAAACCCTAAACCCCTAAACCCCTAAACCCCTAAACCCCTAAACCCTAAACCCTAAACCCTAAACCCCCCGAACTACCCGGGTTGATTGGGCTCCCGGCGTCAGCCAGGCACCTGCACCTTCCCAGGCGAGTGTCGAGCCCTGGCTGGCCCAACTGGGTTCCCAGAGACTCCAATATTGGGTGGGATGAAAGTAGGGTGTATCTTACAAAGGGGTTTAGGGTTTAGGGTTTAGGGTTTAGGGGTTAGGGTTTAGGGTTTAGGGTTTAGGGTTTAGGGTTTAGTGCCCAGAGACTCCAATATCCCATAACTCAGGAATTTTCCTTGAATTATAGTAGGATCCTTAATATGATTTAAGGTATATTCCTTAATTAAGGGATATTGGAGTCTCTGGGTTGCGGCTCAGGAACTTGAACTAAGTTAGGGTTCCAGGGCTTAGTCGGTTAAGGCCTTAGGGGTTTAGGGTTTACGGGTTTAGGGTTCAGGGCTTAGTCGGTTTAGGGCTCAGGGGGTTTAGGGGTTTAGGGTTTAATTTTCAGGTTTAGGATTTAGGTTGTAGGGGTTTAAGGAGAGCCTGTTATTTACTATATATGTCCCCATTGTGGTAACTGAAATATTAAGCTCCTTAACAGCAACCCAGCCAAGAGCATTTGGGTCCGTATTCAGTAAGGTTTGTGCCGAAACACTTCGCAATAAATCCTGGACCCTAAACCCTAAACAGGGTTTAGGGGTGTTAAGGGGCTACACCCTACTCCGGGAAAGCAGCGTTGTTCTCGGAGGCCCTTGATAATGTCCGCTGTTTTCAAGCGCATAACATCTTTAAGACAGCTCAAGAACTGCCTATGATGGGGTCTTACAAGGCTCGATATGGGTTCTTATGGGGCTTCATGCCTTTGTGATCAAGCTCTACCACTCGGGGATTGTAACAGCTCGGTTTCGGCTTTGCAGCATTAAATCTGTCATCAATCCATTTCTTGGTTTTCAACTCTCCGAGGCACCCGAGAATACTTCTGGGAGAAAACATGGTACTTCAGAATGCCGCTAAAACCAATCGCCATGTTTACCATCTTGCCAAGCTTGGACTTCTCGTCTTCCGTCATCTGGAAAGGAAACTGCTCAACCTTCTTGTCCGTGCTGTTGTGATGGATGCAGACACAGCAGCCTGTGTGGGTGCAAGGTGTTGTAGGCTCACCCATGACTGGTCCAACCGCAACAGCGACGAATTGGTCGCTGCGAGGGTTTATCAGGAAGCAAACCATAACTTCCGAGATGCGAAAGTCCATCCCCTCCAACCGTGACCTGTTGCCACGTTTCTGCTCCTCCATTCTCCAATACTCCAACTGTAAAAGCTGGCCGCTCAACTCCAACCCATGCTCCTTCAAGTGGATCCGTACCCTAAACCCTAAACCCTAAACCCTAGACCCTAGACCCTGAACCCCAAACCGTCAAGTGCGCACATCCAGCAGAGGCCTCGGTAGTGTCTCACAGTTTGAGGGTTTAGGGGCCTTGGGGTCTTACGGTTTGGGGTTTACGGTTTCACACTCCGTGAACCACATCCTTCCTTCGGCAGACTCTTTAGTGTATGACAGACATTGTCGGCAGCATGGTAGACACGCCACGTAACGAAATTATTGCTTTCTGGACGCCCTCGCTGAGTTTCTTGCTTGTGAAGGTTTAGGGCGTTTGGTTCCTTTAAGGGTTTAAGGGGTTAGGGTTCCTTTAGGGGCTTGGGGTTGAGGGCTCTTTTCGCGGTAGATGCCGCAAAGGAAGCTCCATTGCCTTCACAAGCAGTGCTGTAACCTGCCCTGCCGGCGGTGCCAGGGAATTGTTTAGGGTTTAGGGATTGAAGTTTAGGGGTTTAGGGGTTTAGGGGGTTAGGGTTTGCCTTGTTGCCTGATTCGGCCGGGAACGCAACACCTCCCTAAACCCTAAACCCCAAACCCTGAACTGTAAACGCTAAACCCTAAACCCAAAGCGTGTCAGAAGTGCCCGCCCCGGTCCCAGGTAATCCAGCCTCAGGGGCTCTGGAACCCCTTGAGCAGTAAGCTTTTTGGTACATATGTGTGTGTGTGTGTATATATATATATATATGTGTTATATCTATATATATATATAATTCAAAAATATCTCTCTCTTCCTATATATATATATATATGTCAGTCCGTATTGCAATACCGATACATAAACATACGCATGTATATATATATATATATATATATATTTATTTATATTTATATTTACATACGTATCTAAGTAAACAGGTATATACTTATACACACATAATTACATGCATGCATACATACCAACTTGCATACATACATACATACATACATGCATACATACATACATGCATACATGCATGCATGCATACATACATACATACATGCATACATACATGCATACATACATACATGAATACATGCATGCATGCATGCATGCATGCATGCATGCATGCATACATACATACATACATACATACATACATACACGCATACGGCCATACATGCATACAGACCTACATACATAAATACATATATACATGCATGCATGCATGCATGCATGCATGTATGCATGCATACATACATAAATATGTAACATCCTTGCACATCTGTATGTATTTTTCTATTCATGAACTCATTTGTTTAGTGATATACCCCTGCTACCCATGAGCCCATAAGCCCCCTGGGCTCAAAACGGAAATACATGTTTCACTAATGACCAGGGCTTAGGGTGCAATAAATCTCTGAAATGACTCCTGCAGAACACCCGACTACTAGTATCCCATGAAAACGCCCAACATATACACTCTGGGGTTAGGAAGTTCAGTTCCACTTCAGGAGCTAAGGGTCCAGGATCTGCCCTAAACCCTAGACCCTAAACCCCAGTTGAGGGTCTAGGATCTGAACTCGTAGAAGCCTTTTCGGATTTTAGGTTTGGGGGCTTGGGGGGCGGGAGATGTAGGGGGTTGAAGGTATAAGGGTCTAGAGTTTAGAGGTTACGGGTTTGGGGGTTCCGGGGTTTATTGCAAGGTTTAGGCCCATAAACCCTAGACTCTAAACTTACGGGTTAAGGTTTTTGGGACTTGGGGTTCAATGTGACGAATAGGGTTTTTGTGTCCATAATACTATAATGATAATACGGAGCCCCCCAGAATGCTATCGGTAACCCTAAACCCTAAACCCCAACCGCTGCGCCTGACACCATCCCCGGTAGAAATGAAGCAGCGTAGTACCAAAACTGCAAGCAATAAAGCCCTAAACGCGAAGACCTAAACAAAAACAAAAGAAGAAGAAGAAGAAGACCCGAAACCCAAAGTCGTTGAAAGGCAGCGAAAGAAACCGAAAGGTGCCTTAAACACCGTGAGAAGCTTGTAACCTGAAACCCTTGAACCCTCCAAGCCCGACTAAAGCCCCAAAATCCTGAAACCCAAACCCTAAACGGTTACGCCAAAATCCCTCCTCCGGCGGTTCCGATAACAAGGGACGGTTTAGGGTTTAAGAGTTTAGGGATTAGGGTTTAGTGAAGTTACGGTGCTGCATTATATGGCACGTCGAAGACCTGAACGCCGAGGAGCATCTTGTAAACTCACCCTACTTAAACCGAAAGAAGAAGGGCCTCGTAGAGGTGCAAACCTCCTCCTTCACCACAAGTCCTATGGCTCCAAAATCCCTAAGAGCCCTGAACCAATATTGTCCCTTTCAGGGCCCCCCCAAAGACAACCTCATAGAAGCCTTTCATGAGAAAAGGCCAGTTTGAAGGAACCCCTTATATAAACTTGTAATTCCTAGGCCCTACATCCTAAAGGGTTCCGTTGAGGGCTCGTTTAAGGGCTCTTTTAGGGGTTCCTAACCCTAAACCCTAAACCTTAAACCCTATAATTACCCTAAACCCTAAACCCTAAATCCTTGAAATTAAAGGCACCCTTCAGAGTCCGAGACTGGGTCCCTTGCGGGCCCCCGTCGTCAAAGAACGGAGGCGGACGCCAGCGCGCGTCGTCGAGGTAGGGGTAAACGTCCCCCGGCTCCCTGTCCGTCAGCAATTTCAGGCTCCCTAAGCCCTAAACCCTACACCCTACACCCGATAAATCCTAAAACTTTAAACCCTAAACCCTACACCCTACACCCTAAACCCGATAAATCCTACCCCAAACCCGAGGCCCCAACCCTAAACCCGTAAAAGCGGTTCCTAAACTACCCATAGGCCCCATAGTAGTTCCTTCTTGGGATTACCTTATAGGATTCTAAACATGAACCCCAAAAAAGAACTACTGTGGGGCCTATGGGTAGGTTCCTATCACGGCTTCGCGATAAGGGCTTTCAGTTTTCGGACAGCACCTCGTGGGTGAGTGAAGGTTGTAGGATGTAGGACTTAGGGTTTAGGGTTTAGGGTTTAGGGATTTAGGGTTTAGGGTTTAGGGTTTAGGATTTAGCGTTTACGGTTTAGACGTAAGATTTCGGGTTTAGGGATTTAAGGCTTAGGGCTTAGAAGTAAAATGACACGCACTCTGATTGTGGCTTTAAGGTTTGACTCACTATAACCATCGTTGCCTGCTTTCCTGGCCTCTGTGCTACTCAATCGATCTTGAGGTCTAGCATGTTAGAACTTAATTAAGATTGAGGTGAGAAGGTGTCAGCTAAGTGTGTGCGTGTGTGTCTATAGGATTAAAAGTTCAGTGTCCATATGGGCCCTCCTCCTGTAGAGCTGTTATAGACTTTTGCGGCGAAAGCAAAATGCCGCGAAACCCTGTAGTCTCTGGCTTACGAGGTTCCGCAAGGGGTGTTGAATCGGCTCAGTCGAGTGCACTTGCACAAAGATCTCAAACCTCTGGGGTGGAGGCTGGACACGCCTAGTTCTAAGGACTTTAGGAGGAACCCTTAATAGGGACCCTTAATCCCATTACCTTAAATAACAATTTTATAGTCCTTATATACCCCTTATATAGCCAGGTAGTCTTCATATTAACCCCAATAGCCTACAAGGGTCCCTATCAAGGGTCCCTCCTAAAGCCCTTAGACTAATATTGGAAGGTCTGGGATAACACTGCCTCAGAGCCACTGTCCGGGAAAGGATGACTGAAAACGCAGGACCGCTGCACAGACGATGCCAGCCAGAAGGACACCCAGTGCATGTGTGCGCTGCGATTGAGAAAACACCCGATCACACAATCCTAAACCCAAGCCCCTGAGCCCTAAAAACCCTAAACCCTAAAATCCTAAACCCTCAACCCTAAAACCCCTAAACCCTGAACCCAAACCCCAAACCCTAAAACCCTAAACCCTAAACCGGCAGTGCTCGCGAATTGTCAAGGCCATGCTTCATTTCTCGGGCGTTTTACCTGCGATTCATGGTTTAGGCGGCGCCGATCCCGGCTGCGCAGTGTGGGTGCCCGGTGGCTATCTGGTTGAGCCGCCATGAAACAACCCAACCTCCACGGTTTAGGGTTTAGGGTTTAGGGTTTACCCTAAACCCAAAACCCTAAGACCCAACCACGAAGAACTACAACCCAAGCCCAAATGAAGAATGAAACTCCTTATAAAGACTCTCAGACGGAGCAGGCCCTGAAACAAACCCGAATCCCTCTAACGCCAGTGTTTAGCCCCGCACCCTGCCCAACTGCAAACACACGGGTTGAGGATTTTGGGCTCCCTCAACACCTTAAGAAATTGATCCGGCGCAGCCGATGTAGTTGCCTTCGGTGGCGTTGGTGGAGCCGATGTAGAGGACTTTCTGAGCCAGTGCTTGCAGATTCGTCGGCCCAGGCCCAGTGAGTGGTCCAATCTGCGGCGGGTTCGTCGGGGCGGGCGGTTGTTCCGTGAAGAGCCCGGCTCCCATCGGGGCTGCCGACGATGCGCCGACACTAACCGCCATGCGATCCATACCCATGTTCGTCTGGAACATCCCTTGCTGTGGCGGTGCGGCGAATTGCTGCGACTGAGCCTGCATCGGAGCCTGATGCTGGGGCTGGAACCCAGGCGCTGGCTGCCACACCCTTATAAACCCTAAACCCTAAACCCTGCTCGACTCGGCTTCTCTAAACCCTAAACCCTAAACCCTAAGACCTTGTATGGAGCTCATAAAACGCCTTACAAACCCAACTGAATCCCGCAGCGCCCTACATTGAACCGGCCAATGGGCACTAACCTCTAAGGCCCAATCTGGACCCTCTTAGCCTATGAACCCTAATCCCCAAACCCTAAAACCCCAAACCCTAATACCCCAAACCCTAAAACCCAAAGACCCTAAACCCTAACACCCTAAACCCTCATCCCTAAAACCCTAAAACCCCAAACCCTCAAACCCTAAAACCCTAAAACTTAAAACCCTAAAACCCCAAAACCCTAAAAACCCCAAACCCTAAGACCCTAAAACCCCAAAACCCTAAAACCCCAAACCCTAAACCCCAAAACCCGAAAACCCCAAACCCCGAAACCCTAAAACCCTAAACCCTCCAACCCTAAGACCCCAAATCCGAAAACCTAAAACCCCAAACCCTAAAACCCCAAACCCTATAAGACCCTAAACCCTAAAAACCCTAAAAACCCTAAAAACCCCAAAACCCCAAACCCTAAACCCCAAAACCCTAAAAACCCTAAAACCCCGAACCCTAAAACCCTAAACCCTAAAAGCCCTAAAACCCTAAACCCAAAACCCAAACCCCTAAAACCCCAAACCCTAAAACCCTAAACCCCAAAGCCTAAAACCCTAAAAACCCTAAAACCCCAAACCCTAAAAACCCTAAAACCCTAAACCCTAAAACCCCAAAACCCCAAACCCTAAGACCCCACACCCTAAAAACCCTAAACCCTAAACCCTAAAACCCTAAACCTAAAACCCCAAAGCCTAAAACCCTAAAAACCCTAAACCCCAAACCCTAAAACAGTAAGACCCTAAAAACCCTAAACCCTAAAAACCCTAAAACCCTAAAAAACCCAAAGCCAACTAGAGCCACACCTCGGCTGGAGGAGCTCCAAGTTCATCTGCGCGTCCGGGTTCGCGACGGGCTCCTGGGTTTAGGGTTTAGGGCTTAGGGTTTAGGGCTTAGGGCTTCGGGTTTTCAGAGGGGTTTAGGGTTTAGGGTTTAGGGTTTGGGGCTTAGGGTTTAGGGCTTAGGGTTTAGGGTTTAGGGCTTAGGGTTTAGGGTTTAGGGGGGGATTTGGGGTTTAGGGGTTTAAGGGTTTAGGGGTTAGGGCTGTAGGGGTTTTGGGGGTTAGGGGTTTTCTAAGGTAGAAGTATGGGCCCCTAGTATGGACTCTTAGGCCTTTCTAGGGACCCTTAAGGGTACATATAGAGTATATAGTAGGTGTATAAGGATCCCAGGGTTAAGGGCCCATACTAGGGGTCCATGGTTTCAACCTTGGAGGTTTAGGGCTTCAGAGGTGTTTAGGGTTCTTGGGTTTAGGGGTTAGGGTTTTAGGGTTTAGGGTTTAGTTTAGGGTTCAGTTGGCTTTAGGGTTCAGGCGGGTTTTAGGGTTTAGGTGCCTTCAGCTCTTACGCAGCCCCTTTTGAACATTATACTTGAAGGTTCCAGAGACTTCTCAAGTACGACTAATAATATGCTTACCTTAAGTGTAAGTAGCAGTAATCAGTAATCTGAAACCGTCTTAGGTCAAGTATAGTCTAGTGACCTAATAATATTCCCAGCTAGTCTCATAACCTTTAATTAAAATAAAATCTAGTTGTAAGTATAACGACCTGATTTACCACAGTTTAAACATCCTAGCGGTCCTTGCTACGAAGTCTCATGACCCTTCATTCCTAAACCCTTATAGATACTTGACAAAACCCTGCCAGGAACACTTTCAACCAAAACCCTAAACCCTAAACCCCAAACCGGGATCTCTGCTAGTTAGTTACTGCGCCTTCAAGTCAGTGGGCTTCCCAAACCCCTGGGAGGATCCAAAACCAGAATCCCACGGTTTAGGGTTTAGGGTTTAGGTTCCTACAGAGCACCGTTTATTATAGATTGTACTAGTTTGGTCCCACATTAGGGGCTCTACTTTCTGGATCCTTTTGGGGGATCCTACACCCTAAAACCTAAACCCTAGACCCTACCTAAACCCTAGACCCTCAACCCTATAAACCCTAAACCCCACCTGAACCCTAGACCCAAAACCCTATACTCTGAAGCCTAAACCCTAAACTCCACCTGAACCCTAGACCCAAAACTCTAAACCCTAAACCCTAAACGCTAAACTCTAAACCCTAAACTCCAAACCCTAAACCCTAAACACTAAACCCTAATGCTACCTAGGAGGGCAAGCCCCGAATCCTGAAGGCCGAATCCCAAAGCCCCGCCACAACTTAAAGGAAGCTTGAAACCCCAGAT